GCGCTGCTGGCACTGCATCAAGGTGACGGTCGTTCGAGACACCCTGGCTTCTTACTTTGGACCTGTCGTGCAGGCGTACGTGCTGACTCGCGAACAGCGCGTGACCGGTCCGTCCCACCTCCGAGTCATTGCAATCGTCCAGTCGCCTCCGTTTGTCGTCATGTCGTACCGTCGGGCATGCAAGTCGTGCCAGAAAAAGTCGACGGCGGACCCGGTCTTGTCTGCAACGAGTCGGGAAGCGTGCGAATGTGAAGGCATGTATCGGCTCAGCGACAGCCACTTGGACGAAATCATTTCGACGGGGGCGACACGGATGACGATATTGCCCGACTTGGATGCTGCTTTACCCGAGTCCACACCACCGCCGAGTTTAGCAGACATGGAGCGGCACCTCGCGTTGCTCTACACATCGCTGACGACCACCACGACTGCTGTGACTGCCACGTCTGCGCTCGTTGACCATGTCATCCAGCTTTTCTTCCCGGAGGGCAAAGTTAATCCACGAGCGTTGGAGAGCACTGAAAGCCTCCCAAAAATACTCGTCGCTTTGCTGCGGGGCAGAGCCACCTTGGACGAGTTTCTCCGACGAAATGCCCACTCGATTTTAGATCAGAGCAATCTATCTCGAGCGTATGAGCAGTGGCTCGCTCAAGTGTACCATCAAGTGTGTAGGATCACGCACGAATCGCACGCCACGTCGTCGGTCTACTTTGAGTCGCTGGGGTCGAACGAGGAAACCCACGCGTCCGAGTCGAGTCGCATCGGTGCATCGTATGCGCGGTCCAAGGGATTTGAAGCCTTCGTTGCTCAGCTGCGGGAAGTTTACCTGGTGCACACTCGAATCTGTTCCCTATCAAGAGATCTCACCAACACTGCGCCATAGGCTCAAAACTACTCGCGCCCCTCCAAGACGTTTTCGTCCGCATTGAATGGAACGTGGCGTTTGGACATCCCATCGCTGCGCATCGTGTCGAGCGAGTTGGCCCCAAGCATCTTGAGCGTTGTTCGATGCCTGAGCATGGGGCTTGGGTTTCATGTGGTGCTCTCGTCGACGTCTCTCTTTGTATGCTCTCGCCGTCCGTATCTTGATCGCATGACGTTCTCGTGGCTCTAGGTGCGGTCCGAGCTAGCGCTGTTTACCACGATCTGGTCGGAATTTATCCTGGACAACACACCGCGAATTCTCCGCGTCTTTCCCAATGGTGAATCCACCATGTCCATGTGTGCCGACCTCCTATACGGAGACTATGTTGGGTCGCATACGCCCCACAACGCAGGCGTTCGCCTCGATTTGTATTGCTGGCCCTTGCACGACAATCCTCATCGGTCCTGTTATGCGATTCGCATGTTGTTTCAACCGACGGCTGGCCACGACCTCCACGGCCAAGTCGACGTGCAAGTCGCCCACAACGTGAGGAACCAAAACACGTGGAACATGACGGCAGCCGAGCGCATGGAGCTCGTACACCGACACTCGTTCTCTACCGTTCTCGTCGTGGTCGGTGGCTGGAAGCAGAGCGCTCCAAACGATGTGGTGAATGTATGGGTCTAAGTGTCTCGAGAGTTGTCCTGGAGGTACATGCGGCAGGGCGGGCATATACTCTTTCAAACGCACCATCCGCGTTTCCAACAGAATGCTCCAAGCTATCTCCACGAACGACCAACATGAGCCCCTCAGCACCGAAATCGTCTCGATCAATATCAACTTGAGCTCCCCACCACAGGGAACGTCACCGTCACAGGCACGAGCGCACGCAAGCCACGTGCACGTCACACCTTCAAGGGCCGCCGATCGCTCCCCCCCACCAATGCTCCTCGGCACTCTCCGGCCGAGCTGACCAAAACGGACAACCCAACTGACGTGCGACACACCCACATTCGCTCGTCCGATGCATATACTTTAAACAAGTGTAGATCTGTGGCAGAATCTAGAATGCATCAGTTTACTCCGGCACTGCTTATCCAACTGAACCATTCAGGATGTCACGCGCGGTGCAAACTCCAACCCCTTGGCGGCGCCCTCGTGTCAGGTTGGCAATGTAATAACGCGCGTACACACTTAAGGAAGCATTCAATGGGCCTCATTCGTTTGCGTGGGCGGAGCGACCAGGTCCACATAGTCCAAGGCATAGTCAAGTCTCACGGTCAAAAGTGTGGATTGTGGAGAAGGTGTCGACGGATCTCCCTGCTGTGTTGTTGCCATGAGTCAAGAGTAGTGGGCGAGTGCCACGATACGAGTGACGTGCCCGTCGAGACTGCGATTTGAATGCAATCAAATCGACCAGCGAGCAGCGCGATAGATCAGTACATGACATCCTTTCTTCATTTTCTGTGGCCACGACACCAAGGAAGGGCCGACTACAAATGGAGCGTTGCGATTCACACCTCAAACCATTTGGATCTTGGCGAGATGCATTATGGATTGAGATCGTCTTGCCCTGTGGAGTCGCATATTCCTGCATTCAAACCTCCACCCCAAGCGCGAATTCGAACCCAAGTATTCTTGGCATGTCCATGCGATCGAGAATGGCCACGACAATGCTAGGTGAAAGGGCTGACGTGGTTGAGTTGTATTCGTGTGGGCGAGCCAGTTGCAACTTGCGACGAAGTGTTTTTGCCGTCTCGATTGCGTGTATTCACCGTGGGGACGATTTTGTAGTGCAGCACCTTTGGCGACCTGTCAAACATAAGCCTTGTACTGGCTTCGGTCGGAATGTCATTTGCACAACGAGGGGCTGGGCCCCGTACAACCCTTTTCGCGCTCCACGTGTGCTGCAGTTGTAGCAAACTCTGTCGCCCCGATGGGGGGGGCAAGGCATCGTGGAGTCCTCCCCGCAATCATGTCCACCACCGCCTCCAAGCGGAAGGCAAGGTCAGCAGTGGGATGCAGACTTGGGAATTCCACCGTTCATGGTACTCCCACACAAACCAAGCACGTGTACAATTCGTTGGTCGTCACCTTGTGGTGGTGCAAACAGGTTTCATCGTGGCGCTCGAACGTCGGAAGGCGTGGTTTCGTCGAGATGCCCACAACCCGTCCAACATTCACGCCAACGTGACCTTCACCGACATCACGGCATCGACCATCAAGGAGTCAGTCTGGGCAGCACGCCTAATGTGTTCTGCATCTTTCTCTATGGCGAGTCTGCTTTGTTCACATGCGCCAGTCTCACGATTGGTGACTTGGTTGGGTTCGCCTTCGCACGAACACATGCGCCGGACTTGACTTGGTGCCGTGGTCGTCAGAGATGCGACCTCGTCGCGCAAAGAGCAGCTCCTTGGTCATGGCGAAGTCCAATTTGCCCACAACTCGACCCGTGGAGTATGAACGATATGAAGCACCAGCGATAACGCACCCACTCATCAGAGTGAATCCTGCATCGTCGACGTCTGGCGAGACTGTGCCGAGTAGAAGTCGTGAATCCATGGGTTCAAATTCATTTCCGTCGGTTCACATGCTGCGCCAAAGGCAGATTGCTTTCCATCAAGGTCCTCTGTCGCTACTCGAAGGGTCGCTTTGCGAACCTTTGCGATAGGAGAGTCCGAACCAAATTCAATGGATCGTGACCGCTCGTGCTCCGTCCTTTTACAAAACCTCGAGTCCACCCGTGATAGTAGCGCGCCTCGTTCGCGTGGCAGGATTATTGGCATGCAGAGCTGAGAGTGTCCGCGCGAATCGTCGACTTTGTAGAATCTGCCAAAGAAGATGGTCTAAACAACTCCAAAATTTCCGATTCGAGGAGTTGTTCGTTCTGGAGCGTGCGTCTCCGAAGTCCCAGTATCCCCCAGGCCCAGCATCCCCTCCAAGCCCCAGCATCCCACATGTGCGCCTTCATCACAACAGCGCATATGTGGTGGATGTATACCCACAAGTGCGTGCAGCTCATTTGGATTCTGTGCACTGGGGCTTCGTTGTCCAGTAGAATGAACCTGCGGCTCGACTGTGCATTCTGCCTCAGCCTCCATGATTTGCGAAAGCGTCAGTATATATGCTTTGTAGAACGTGCATGGCCATGAATGTGAGGTGGAATTCCTCGAAAAGTCGCCCGCGCCGCATACTATAGCCGCACGTGCGCAGTGATCTTACGAGGAAATCTGCTTCGTCGGCGCCAGTATGAAACGTCGAGCAGGGCGGCGCATCCATCGAGCGATGGGCAATGCTATGACCGTCCTTTTGGTCGTTCATGCCCGAAGCAGTGCTCCCATCACCAACGTCCTTACTGTTGCATCTGTGATCATGGCGAGGCTCAAAGCATGACGATGCCCCCGCTTGAGGATTGAATCCATGTCATTTCTCAACTCGCAAATGCAAAACGAGCGCTTGCGTGTACTACGTAGTATATCATTTACACGAGTGGTAAGGACGTCAACAGGCAGCGTTGCTGCTCGACGGAATTCACTTCACATGGACGTAAAACTATGCCATGCACTCTCAGCTGCTCGGAACGAAGTGCTCCATGGCCGCTTGTGCGGTTGGGCTCGAAGAGAGTCGACCATCCAAGCGCAAATGTTGCTAAGTACCAACACACTTGCCCCCCCTCGGGCTTGCGGAAAAGGAAGGATGGGATCGGCCAGCGACGGAATCTCCTAATGTCTTGTGACACTTGGCGCTGGCATTCCTATCGATGTCATCAGCAACTACTTTTGTGCGGGATTCCCACAACCACACCGTGGAAGCGCAGTCGTGTCGCTCCGATATCACGAGCAGGCGAGTTGCTCTGTCTCGTGGTGTTGGAGCAACTGGCATTACTGCTCGTCGCAGATTTGTACGAACACAAGCATGCATGTCCCCCACAAATGTCGTGCTAGGCCGTGATCAGGAACCTTGCCATCCCACCGCAACACGAAGCCTTCCTTCGTGATGGGGCACAAAACACTCGCGCGTTCTTCCACCCCACCTTCCACGCCCTCCACTTTGCACCGCGGTCGTGCCGTCGTTGAACTTGGCCATATCAGATGTGACATCATCCAATCAGAAGCGCGTAATCCTCGCAGTAAAAAACCGCGCCATCATTTGATGCGGTCACATCAACACAAAATACCCGCCGAGGATTTCGCGAGGGGTTTTGTATTGCTCGACTCCTGGTCCATTCCGGTCATGAGCAGGGACTCAAATGCCGTGCATTGGCGCGATGTGTGCTTGCTTTGTGTACGCCGTGGCTGTGTCGACGCGTTGATTGCGAGAATAGATCGGGGTGGGACCGACCGATTTTGTCAATTGGACAAAACACGCCCTAGCTATATTGACCGGGGATCGTCTCAGGACACGAC